CGTCTCTCCCAAGGTAGGCGGAAATTGGTTGAGCGGGTTCTCGCTCGGCCCGTGGTGCGGGGCCCACCGATCCCCCCCTCGAATTGGTGGGTGGGTGGGTGGGGGTGGGCGTGGGGGTGGGGTCAAACGCGCGCCCCCACCCTTCCCCTCCTCCTAGTGGTGGGGGCCCTTGGGGGGGTGCGGGGAGGAGGACGTGGGACCCACACAAAAAATGGGAGCGCCCATCGCCACTCTCCGCCGGGCTCGCGTGCGGCCCACCCCCCACCCCAACTCGGCGCCGACTGGCCCCCCCCGCGGGACGGGAAAGGGCGCGTGCGCGATCCGTGACAAGGAAAAGGAGAAAGCTCGGCCGGGCCGGGTCGAGGGTGGTGGGGCCCCCCGCCCCCGCGGAGATTAAAGTACGTTGATCCGTGTAGGGGAGGGTAGGGGTAGGGGGGGGGGGGTCCGGTGCGGGGAAGCCTGTGGTCCAAAGGGTAGAGGGATAGGGAAGAGTGCTGTGGCGGGCCCACACGTGCGAGTATTGCTTTTTTTTATTTTTATTATTATTTATATTTCGGTCTGAATGCGGGGATTATTAGAGGGGGAGGGGAAAAACGCACGTGTGGGCCCCCACCCCCCCACCCCGTCCCTCTCTCCCTCTCTCTCTGGCCGCGCATCTCTCAGAGATGGACGGCGTACGGGCGTCCAGCCTGGTCCCCCCCACCCCAACCCCACCCCCTCCAATTTCTTCCTCTCTCTCTCTCTTCCTCTGTTTCGGATAAACGGGGCCCGCGGGTGTCTTTTCGTTTCGTGTTGAAACGACGTCGCGGTGCGGAGGGGAAGATTCCCTTTCGCGACCGCGACGCCCCGCCCGCCGGTTGGAATTAGCGGTCTCTTCGCGTGTCTTGTCTTCTTCCTTGATGATGCCGAGGGCGTCTGCCGGGGGAGGCGAGTTAATCGTTCGGTTGACCTTCGAAGTTCAGTCGGTAGATCCTTAACAGGCCGAGCGGATCTTTGGCTTCGTGGGCTTGTCGCCAACTCTCGCGGAATTGATGGCAGAAGGGCATCGGATTGAGTATCTTTCGCTTATTATGGTTATAGATCGAAAATCTTCTGTCCACTTCTTCGATCCATTAGAGGCCCTATCTTCAATGATGTTTTGGTTTAGTTAACATTTTATTAATTTTAAAGAAAAATAACAAAAATATATATTAAATAGTACTAGGCCTACCTATCTTCATGATGTGTGGTAACAAGTACTAGGCCAAAGTATTAAAGCAAATCATGTGTTCGAATGGGTAGCGCCTTTCCCTTCGGTGACTTTGGGTGGTCGCGCCTTATATTCGAAGAGTCATCCTATAGATGTGGATAGATATAACTGTTTGTGTGCGGCTGTAGCGATTGGTCGATCTGACTGTAGATGTCATTGGATGCATCTCAATCCTATAAAGAGGAACTCATTGAATTCGAGTTCATGAAACAGAGAGTGTACGAACGAACCGTTCTTGAAACGCATTTTTTGGGAACAAGATAAATAGTTTGGTTCATCTTCTTGGGCTTCTTTTGTGGGCTTTTATATTACACTGTCTGGATGGTACAGCAAGGGAGGTGAAGCCCATTTAGGCTTGGATCAGGCCCAATCTCAAACACTTGTTCAATATTTCTGCGAATTGCTAATCCGGTCCAGATCATGGATACGTTTCGATCAAATCCAGTTTTCTCAATTCGCAGTAACTTGAAATCGAGATTTATACATTTGGTTTTTGAAGACTAGAGAGACTGTCATAACCTTACGAGAGAGGTTCCCGTATCGCGTTCTAAAGAACTCGAATGTGCGCATTTCTTATTGCACTCGCAAAATTTTATTGATAAGCGAAATATTCACAAAAGTATAATAAGAAGATGATTACGCAACATAGTGAAATTTATGTATCTCTTGTTTTCACAAGTAGTATATATATAGTTTTAGGAGTCGCAACTTAAAGCTGGATCATCAATTTCATCAAGTCAGAGAATGCGACACATGATCGCAACGACCGGAAGTTCTAACATTCTAAACATAATAAGGAAATGGGCCGACAATGCATGTACAATATATCACTCGACATTCTCTCTCACGTGTAAGCCGATCCTTTACATACGGAAGACGGGTTAAGGGCATAATCACGTCGGACAACCGGAATCGGCACAAAGACATAATCGCAAGAATATGAACACTCAAGCTCCTCTGATACTCATGTAAGGCTAACCTCTCTCTCTCTCTAATCTTTTTTCTTACCTAACTTCGGGGGACACTTTTCTAGGCGTCGCGCGACGATTTTTCGTCACTTAAATTATCCCATGTTAGCAAAACTGATGGAATTGTTCATGGTCGGCATGGAAGAACCAATTGCATAAATCGAACAAGTTAGAGGTCTTAATCGAACGAATCAAGTAAATAAAGAGACTTTAATCGCAACCGTAAAAAAAAAAAAATACATGACAACCCAATTGCATAATTGACAATAATTCAGGGACCAAAGTGAACTCAACCTTGTTCATCAACTACATATATAGGGCAGGTCTCAGTTAAATGTGTATGATCGCGCAGTTAATGGATTTGAATACGCAGTATATATTAAGAGCTAGGGGTATAGGACCCTTCAACTAGATTGCACTCCTTCTAAATGGTGTCCCTATATCATATTAGGGACGGCTACAAAGAGTTGTCCCCAATGCATCGTGTTAATTGCTTGGTCTGAATTGCAATTTCGCGTTTTCTGTGATTGTTCTTTCTTTTCTTTTGGCGGGCGATTGGGGGTCTCATGGAGTGACATTTTCTACGGTTAGTCGTGCTTAATTAATTATGTAGTGTGATGGTTATAAATCAATTACGAAGCTTGCATCATTGGGGCAAAGTTAGGACAGGACATGGACGGCGATGCCGTGATTTCTGTGATTTTCCTTTCTTTTTCTTTGGCTAACGGTTGGGGTCCCCGTTTAAACGCTTTTTCTGTTATATACATTTGATGGACGAGTTAGCATAACATGCCATAACCTTGAATTTTCAATTTCGAACAAATGATAAAATTCGCTCGATAAAAAGAGTGACACCATAGACACTAAGAATGGGAAAATTACCAAAAAAATCTTAAATCTATTGTAATTGTGTAAATTTAGTGATAAATCTTTTTTTTTGCCAATATTTTTTGGACAATTTTTTTTTGTCAATTGAGTCCTAAAATTTTGTGCCAATTCTGTTGATCCGGCCAACTTTGGTTGGAAACTGTTGACGGGGTGCCACCGGCGTCGACATGAATATTTTTTATAATTTTTTATTAGTATTTTATTTTATTTTATTTTTTCTGTTTTTTTTTGTTGTGGCCGGCAAGTTCATTGGCCGGGCGAGGCTGGACCTCGTCGTTGCTGGGTGAGGTTGTGCCTCGTCCAGTCCTTGATAGCCCTTGCCCATGGCCGGCAAGGCTCGACACTCACCAGCCCAGCCGCTGGCGAGGTCGACCTTGCCTAGCAACAGCGAAGTCAAGCTCGACAGCCTAGCCCTAGTGAGGCCGAGCTCGCTCAGCGACGACAAGGGTCGCGCGGCCACAATGAAAAAAGGGAAAAAAAAAGAGAAAATAAAATAAAATAAAAATTTCATAAAATTTTTTAAAAAATAAAAAATGTCCACGTTAATGCTAGTTGTGCCACGTTAGCAATTTCTGATCAAAGTTGGTTGGATGGACTGAATTGGTATAATTGCAATAGGTTTAGGAATTTTTTTTAGTAATTTTCCCTTTCTTGATCCTAATTGTCATCGGAAAAAAAAATTCCTAAAGAATATAAGTACCCGGAGCAATGTAACCAATAGAGCCGGCTAATGCGGTCCAGTCTGATGAATCTAGCCTCAATAGTTTTGCGATACCAAAATCTGAAACCTGAGCTTCATAATCGGCATCCAACAGAACATTGTTACCGGTCAAGTCTTGATGTATCCACGGAGGAAAACAATGGTGATGCATATAGAACAATGCATTCGTCACTCCTCGAACCATGTTTACCCTTTTGTCCCAAGCAAACTCTGAGGTTTTCTCATCATCTTTCAAAATAGTTCTCAAGCTTCCTCTTTTAATGTACTTATGCATCATAAAAGAATGTTGCGCGTGAGAGTAAAACCCATAAAATTTGAGGATGTGACAAGGGGTGGATATTTGATAAGGCTTGAATCTCCCTCTCGAAAGATATGAAGTCGAGGAGCTCCTCTCCAGGGGATGAAGAAATTTTCTCAACAGCAGCCATTTGACCTGTCGGAAGTTCAGCTTTATAAACAATGCCGTGTGCTCCTTCTCCCACACAGAACTTGGAGTCATATCCTTCTTTGGCCTCCAGGATTTGCTCGTAGAAAGCTTGGCTATTAAATTCAAAATGCGCAAAAGATCTAAATCATTACAACATCCCTTTATTGGACCGCGTGACATTGACACGGATCACAAGCTGATATTTGCTTGAAAGTATAGATCATATTCACGCATTGGATGGGAGCCCGCCGTTTCACTCAATTAAAATCGATTCCGTGAATCCGTTTTAATGCGGCTTGCTTGGATAAATCATGGGCGATATGCCTGCATAGCTGCAAATTACTAAATATATTTAGCAAAAATGGTCTAAACAAATTTAACTCTACAGACCTTATCAATGAATCATCGAAAAATTAAAATACAAAACCCATCTTTAGAATCAATAAAAAGTCCTATAGGCCTGGCTTGTGGTTGGGTATGGAAAAAGGCTAAAGAAGGAAAGGTCAAGTTTGTTGGTGTTTTGATACTAGAAAACTGCCAAGGAGATAGGATTCTCCTGTCCTGGCCAACGGTCATTCAAATATTGCGGCAAAAAATACAAAGGGAAGTCTTCTCGACTCTCCGTTGACACTGAGATGCCGAAACAGAGACGGAGGCTTTGGGACCTTCCGACCTACCCTGTCTCCGTCTCTGTTTCTGCCTCTGTCTCTCTCTAGAGTGGACGTCCACGGTCCCCATGCCCATTTCGCCTTTGAACATTCAAAGGCGAGGTCTAGAAAGGCTTGCCGAGTTCATTGTTTTCTCATCTCTGTCTTTCGTCGTTCCTTCCCTTGCTTTTGACAGCGTTATTAAAACGGCTAATCATGCGTGGGCGAGTTCCCTTGAGCGATTCTTCAAGGCTTGGAGCCCACCCCTTTCCGTTCTTGGGCTCCCTCCTCCTTTTACCCGGTCAACGCGGCTTTGCTCATCTTGTCCGGGCACCATCTCGCGTGTGCTGGCGCATCTTTAGCTCGGATGCAATAACTCTGCTCGGCTCCTTTCGGCGCGTCCGATGTGAGCTCATCGGAGCAGCTTTCTCCTTGGTCTGTTGTGTTCCTGAGCACAATTATTCAGTTGAGGTACCTCCTTTCATTCTTCCTCGAGTTACCCAATTTTCTGGCCGCCGGTAAGTCGACGTATTGCTTCAGTGAGACGGGTTTGCGTGGGTTCGTCGTTCGGAGTAGCTTGTCGGTCAGGGGCTTCAATAGCTTGATAATTTATTCGGGTTGTTGTCAAAGAGCGGTGGAGTTATTGTGTTGTTAGGTTATACATAGTCTACTATTGCAAGTGCTTCAGTTCCATCGGGAGCGAGGCGCTTTTCCATGGCTCGATCATTTTTCGCTGAAACCTTGTCCTTCAGAGGATCATCCCATGTCCAGGGTCAACAGAATGCTCCTATTAAGACCAGCAAGCAATCTCTGAAGTTGCAGCTCTTACATGGAAACTTAGACATTTGGGTGAAGGATGCCAAAAAACTCCCCAATTTGGATTTGTTTCACAAAAGATTGGAGGACGTGCTCGGGAAAATTCCCGTCAAGGTTAAAGGCAAAATCGAAGGTCAAATGTCTAAGATAACCAGCGATCCTTATGTTACGGTTTCCATTTCTGGTGCTGTCATCGGTAGGACGTTTGTGATCAGTAACAGCGAGAACCCCGAATGGAAGCAGCACTTTTATGTGCCTGTGGCACATTATGCTGCGGAAGTGTATTTTGTGGTTAAGGACAACGATGTAGTCGGCTCCCAGAAAATAGGCGCAGTGGGGATTCCTGTGGAACAGTTATTGTCGGGAACAAAAATTGAAGGAACTTTCCCTATCTTGAACGATAACGGGAAGCCCATCAAGACCGGAGCTGTCTTGAGCTTATCGATCCAGTACACTCCGGTAGATAAAGTGGACGTTTATAGTGAGGGAGCCAGTCATGGTCCTAATTACCAGGGAGTACCAAACACATACTTTCCTCTCAGAAAGGGTGGTAAGGTTACTCTTTATCAAGACGCTCATGTCCATGATGGTTCCCTTCCTAATTTAGAGCTCGACGATAACTTGCAGTACAACCACAGGAGTTGTTGGCAAGATATCTTTAATGCAATTAGTCAGGCCCGACGTTTAGTCTATATTGCTGGATGGTCTGTGTTCCACAAGGTTAGACTGGTCAGGGATGGCAATGAGGCAACAGTTACATTAGGGGATCTACTCAAAACCAAGTCACAGGAAGGTGTCAGAGTGCTCCTTCTAGTGTGGGATGATCCTACTTCTCGCAGCATTCTGGGGTACAAAACGGTAAGGAGCTACAAAATGTTTGATGTCATGCCATTCGATTCTAAGTCAGTTTGCCGCAAGCAAGAACATACTATGGTACTCGCATGCTGTCTTGGTATTTATGCTGTGCTGCACCATTACACCGCAATATGCTATGAATATAAATGTCTGTCAGAGATTATTCTCTTCCTGAATTCTTGATATCCTTGGTGTCTTGAAGTTTATGTGACATGATATTTGATCTTAACTTCTTAAAACACAAGTTAGAACAGTTGACTGATCAAGCCAGCAAATTTGGACCTGTCAGTGTTTTCAGTAACACGGTTCTCTCTCTCATAAGCGATACCACTGGCATCAATCGGGTTTCATTTGAATGTTAGCTTCTGAGCGATCTAGAATCTACAACTCATGTAGAAAGCAAGACACTGCTTGTTTTTTGATTTAATAAGAACTTCCGTAAGCACAAGTATGTAAGAAGCATAAAGGAATTTATGACTTGTCGATTGGTTTTATGTTCAATTGACATTTAATGACATTGATTTATAGCTACACCAAACTTCAAGGGCTTCATGTTGCAACTTCTTATGGTTCATCTGTTCATTGACTTGCGTCAAAATAGGAAGGGATCATGCATACCAATGATGAGGTGACTCGTCATTTCTTCAGGAACTCATCGGTGCAAGTGCTACTTTGTCCTCGATCAGCTGGAAAAGGACATAGCTGGGTCAAAAAGCAGGTTAGAGACAAAAACACCATTTATGCCTGTATACCCCTCCTCAAGTTTCTGTCTAAAACCATCTATGGAAGTTCATTCTCTTAGCAAAGTTTTCATTCAACTTCAACTACCATATACTGCAGATTCATTGGAAAAGAAAGGAGTTTTAAAGTTTTGTTGCTGAAAACCGAATGTCTGGTTGTGGAATTATATAATTAACAATCCAGTAGAACTTCGACTTTGTAGCTTTTCAAAAGCAGGAAGCACGTTAAAACCCTTGATCATGTAGAAGCAGAACATCAAAATGACGCTAAAAACATGTTACCACTTCTTTGCTGTTGTATTATGACTCTGGAGATTTATTCGTCTAAAGAATCAGACATTGCAGATACCATGCAACCAAAAATGGGTTAAAGAAGTTTTGGCACTGACAGAATGGAGTCCTTTCTCCAAGAAGTTAGTAAATTTTAGATGTTTTTGGGTAATGCTGTATCTGTCAATATCATTTGAAGTATGTTGAACATTCTAATATGTTCATAAACATAACTCTCAATAAGATCCATCTGGGTTTATATCAAAATTATCGCCTCCGTATCTTTCTAAATCCGAAACTAGTGTCAAAGACTCGAAGTGTACTTTTACTCAGAATTATAATCTCTATATGTGATGATATTCTTGCCAATTTTTTCTTCTATCTGATCAGAAAATAGTGATTTGTCTGGAATTTTTCCACATTCAAATTGGCCGCTGCATCTTGTCTCCTATAGTGTTTGATATTGACCTGCATTAATTTCGTTTTCCATGGATGCCGTGACGTAAATATTCTTTAAGATTTTTTTTTTTTGCTTCAGCAATTACGTTGGACCTCCTGATCTTTATTCCTTTTGGCTTTATTCCTTAGGAAGTAGGAACCATTTACACTCATCATCAGAAGACAGTGATTGTGGATGCTGATGCTGGGGATTACAGAAGAAAGCTTGTAGCATTTGTTGGAGGTCTAGATTTATGCTTGGGTCGTTATGACACTCCCAGTCATCCAACTATGCGGACACTGCAGACGGAGCACAAAGACGACTATCACAACTCTACTTTCACGGTAATGAATAATTATACTCATTGCACATGGACTTGCCCACAGTTGTTTGAGGTATCACCGTCCTGCTTCATTTGTCCACGCACAATCCCAGACAAGATATCTACATCCACATTACATGCTATATAGAGAACGTCCTTTCAACCATAGTGGGCTACATTCGGGCATGTGTTTATTATGGGGATTTATCTTCTCGACAAGATGTCAAGTGAATTTAAGCTGCATACTTGTCAACATTTAACCAATCATTTTATACAATTTACCATACGTAAGGTTTTCTTTAGTAAGACAATGTGGTATGTAAGGTTTTCTTCAGTAGGAAATGTGGCATGCAACTTGATATCTGCCCTTATTATGCTTTACCTAAAAGAGAAGGATTGAAGCATGAGGAGTTTTCTCATTTCACTTGTACCCAAAACCTTAACAGGATCCTTCTGCTGGTTGCCCAAGGCAGCCATGGCATGATTTGCATTGCCGCATAGATGGACCAGCAGTATATGATATCCTCACCAACTTTGAGGAGCGTTGGTTAAAAGTTTCAGAACCACATGGTTTACAGAAGTTAAAGACATCATATGATGATCAACTTCTGAGACTAGAAAGAATTCCCGACATCTTGGGGATTTCAGATGTTTCTTGGCCAATTGAAGATGACCTAGAGAATTGGCACGTTCAGGTAATCATTGCTGTTAAAAATTGATTATTTTCTTCTCCATGCTTGTCAAGTTTTCTCTGCGGAGCTGACTCAACTTTTCAAAGTGAAGATTTTCCGCTCGATTGATTCCAATTCAGTCAAAGGCTTCCCTGATGACTCTAAAGATGCTCCAAGCAGAGTGAGTACTAGAGAAACAAGCCAGACCTTAGTCATTTCATGTTCCTCTATGATTGATCCAAGTTCATAGAAATGCCATAAAAGTCGAGTAATTGATATGCTTTCTCCTTCGTAACAGAACCTGGTATGTGGAAAGAATGTGTTGATAGACATGAGCATACACACAGCATATGTCAAGGCAATCCGTGCAGCACAACATTTCATTTACATTGAGAATCAGTACTTCCTTGGTTCATCATATAACTGGGATTCTTATAAAGATATAGGTAAGGAAGTAGAATCACCATGGTAAATAAGGTGCATCATTTCGGAAAAAAAATGTTGCATCATGAGCTCGTCCCTGATATAATTTGTTTGTTGTTAACATTGTTCCTTTCTTCAAACAAAAGAGGTAATTAATAGGCTTTACTCACTCAAGATCTTTCCAGCCAGATAATAGACATAAACTACTTTCCCCCTTATTTGGTTATTCAAAAACATAGCTGCACGAACTCAGTGAGAGTAGTAATTTTGAAAACATATTTATAAAATGAGTTCTGAACTCCAGAATAGGACATTATTCGATAACTTATGGGCTTATTTTGCAGGTGCCAATAATTTAATACCAATGGAGATAGCTCTTAAGATTGCTAGCAAAATAAGAGCAAACGAGAGGTTTTCTGTGTATATTGTTATCCCAATGTGGCCAGAAGGTGTTCCTACAAGCCCCCCCCTTCAAAGAATACTGTTTTGGCAGGTAGGATTCAGTTACACAAGGCGAAAGCAAAGAACAAAACTAAACCGAAAACTTAAGTTCAACTCTTAGTTTGGTTCTGACTTTGTTAAAGGCGAAAGCAAATTCAAACAACAAAATAAAATCGGAAAAATCTGTCTGCTTATTGGTTTGGTTCAAACTTAGTTAAAGGTAAAAAGGAAAATCAAGTTGATTTGTTTGCCACTTTTTTCCATTGGAAAATTATACCAATAAGTGGCAGTCTTTCTATCCATTGTAATATCGTCATTTCCTCTGTTAAAAAGTTCTACACATGGTCCACATAAAGTCTTCTACTTTTGGACTATATGAAATTTGCTTCACCATTTTGGTTTGGTTGGGTTCTACTTTGGATCTTAACCTGCTGATATCTTCTGTGTGATCTGAAATTTTGCTCCAAAAGTGACCCAAAAAGAACATGAACACCTTTACTTGCCATGTTTGAATTGTTTTCCTGTTTTTTAGTATAAGAATACCACAAACTGGTCAGGAACTTGCATGTTCATAAACTTATCTTGGTCAATGTGAAAATTTACTGATCAATTAGATCACTCACGTCCTCATACGATTTTCATATAACAAATTTACTCTTGACTTTCAGATAATAATAGGTCAGTTGCAGTTCCTTATGTTGGAAAATTTTCTTCTATTCCTATTTTATGCCCGGACATTAACAAAAATCATTTTACACTATGCATTTGTTGTTGCTGCAGCGCAAGACAATGGAAATGATGTATGATACAATCTACAAGGCTCTAAAAGAGGTTGGGCTTGACAATAAATATGAACCTCAAGACTATTTGAATTTCTTCTGCCTCGGCAACCGTGAAGTGTTAGATGGAGAAGACAGTTTAAAGTCGGGACGTGCAAATGGAGCAAAGTCGGCTCAGGTATGCCTTGGCCCAATCTCCAATATGTATTTTGACTATGCCTTGGTTTTTATTGTCCCCCGTGATTATTTCAAATCATGTTGCTTCGGTTTGGTTGAATGTGCTGTGCAACTCACTTAGGAACTTGCTCGAAAGAACCGGAGGTTTATGATTTACGTCCATTCTAAAGGAATGATAGTGGACGACGAGTATGTGATACTGGGATCTGCGAATATTAATCAGCGATCCCTGGAGGGCACTAGAGACACTGAAATAGCTATGGGTGCATATCAACCTCGGCACACCTGGACTCAGAAACAGTTGGCTCCACGAGGGCAGGTAAATTACGTGCTTTTTTCTCCAGATAATCATCTCAAACTTTTTTTTGTTGTTCGTATAAGGTAAAAAGAAGTATGAGCTCCATTTCTTGGCTCTTGAGCCTCTTTTTCAGTTGTCCAGGCATGTGAGTGTCGGTCCATTTAATGATTCTTGCAGTAGTTTCGTTTGTAATACAGTTGCACTTTGTTTTTATATATTGGACGAAATCATAGGCTTTATCTGAATACATGCCCATGAAATGTATGTTCTTTTGAGAAAATGGAGACATTTTGGAGCATCCAAGTCCCGCTTGTCAATCATACTAAATGACACAACCGAAATAGTAGCCACCGAGATTCTTTCAGTTCGGCATTTTGGGAACTCATTCCTATCCACCCATATTTGATTGCAGATACACGGATACAGAATGTCCCTGTGGGCAGAGCATCTCGGAAGCCTCGAAGAATGCTTCAAGTGCCCGGAGAGTGTCGATTGCGTGAGAAGGGTACGATCGCTGAGCGAGGCTAACTGGAGACAGTACGTAGCTGACGAGGTAACCGAAATGAAAGCCCACCTCCTGAAGTATCCGCTCCAGATTGACAGTATGGGAAAGGTGAAGTCACTTCCTGGTTGCGAGACATTCCCGGACGTCGGCGGGAACATACTGGGTTCATTTATTGCCATTCAAGAAAACCTTACAATATAGCGGCGCCTATGATCGCCTCGCCTTACACTCGTTCGCGTGTCACGACTATCATATATGCTATGATCAGTCGTCATTCTTTTGTGCATATAAAATCCAAGGGGATCGAGAGGGGCTCTCTGATTCTGTTCCTGCTTTTCGTGTATCATACCTTCATGGATTTGCAAAAGACCTGCGCAACCTGCAAATTTTCTGCTCATTTTGAGGTTGAACATTCCAACCATTCCCGAGAGAGTCTAGGACGGGGGACAGAACTCTTGAGAATATTAATGTTCATATTGCCAAAGTTATTGCACAAAATAGCAGTGTCCAGCAATTTTCTCTATGCATTAAGCATTTGAAAATTAAATTAAGTCGAAGAATACAACCTTTTTCTCGGCTTCGAAATTTATTTTCTGAAAATGCGATCGGCCTAATCTAGTAAATTAGACTATATAGATATTTCTCGTGATTTATTGTCGGTGCATGAAGATCTACAGAAGAGCGATAAATTGTCCTGATTACAGAATTAAATAAGTCATGTTCTAATGGCATTTATTCTTCTATAGGGATAAAAAAATAAATTTATAGTCCTATAAGCATTCTGATCTTTGGATTTCTTGTCTTTTCTTTTTTCTCGACGTGCATGTCACATGTGGGAATCTTGTGTGATATACGTGACATTAATATATATATGTATTTCTATTCGGATCATGGGAATTATTTGAACATGGCCAGTACACTATAAAACGAATTATATATATAATATAATAAAAATTGCCGAATCAATAAAAAAATAATGCGAATAATATAATATAATATAATATAATCGCCGAATCAATTAAAAAAAATGCGTTTTCAACGGCGAGATCCGTGTCTTACAACCTGTCGGTATTTAACTAGGAGTCAAGGGCGACTCATTATTTTATTACTGAAGTTTTATAGATTAAAACATTTTTTAAATCGAGTTCTTCCGTTTATTTTGAACGAGTTTAGGGTCTAGTCAAAGGGAAAATTTTAAAAAAACTTTTCGTAGTTGGGAAATTTCTAAGATCGTTGGTAAATTAAGAATGAACTGTAACTTGACTGTCAAATAACTTATAGATAACTTCTCAACATCATCAGGGATTTAGCGATTTTAAAATGAATTAGTAAATAATTAGCTCCCCAGAAACTTTACAAATGTAAGTAAATTCAGTTACCAACATTATCAAAAATTACGGGTGTGGGGTTGGGGGGTTTGGCCCCTTCCTTCCCCAAAGGTTGAGTGTTCGAATCCCGGCGCCGCGGGTGGCTAGCCCGTGGTGGTGGTTACTAAAACATTACAATAAATTAGTGACTTACAATTTTTAGATTTACAATTTTTAGATTGTTACAAGTGTAGTTGATAAGATATCAACTCTTGTTTGCACAAAAAAATGACCAATTTTTTGTTATTATCGACATGTGATGGACTTAATCGATGAGAATAGAATTTGGTCATTTATGAATATAATTATTGACAACTTGGTGAATCGACAAAAAGTAGAGTCAAAATCTTTGATGCAACCATCAAAGAAGTAACCATCAACGCGGTGGAGTTAAAGAAACCGTCGAAATAGTGGAGTCAAAGGAACTGATAGTTAATGTAACCGTTGATGTATAATTGTTAGTAACATTTATTTGTAACCTCCCTTCGTAACTTCTGTTTGCAACATCTATAACCTCCGTTGATAGCCGTCAATCGTAGGCTTTTAATAGCCACATTGTACAGGCCCCGCACACAAATAAACAAATATGTTATCTTCAATTCCTCCACAATAGTTATCGTTTTAATACTAGCGCCATCAATTAAATTCCGGCGTGTTTCTTTGCTGTAGTTTTTAGATTCGCGTCGTTGATTAAATTCCGGTATGTATCCTTGATGTATATCCCGGGTACCTTGTTGTCGATTAAATTTCGAAGTTGCCTTTTTACGTTCTCAGGTTTTGTCATTGATTAAATTCCGGCATAATTTGTGTATGTTTTGGTTCCGTTTAAAGTGATTATGTTCTTAGGTTTTCTCATCGATTAAATTCCGGCACAATTTGTATACGTACAGTTCCGTTTCAAGTGAAATTATCGATTCTCTTGTCTACCTATGATATTTCTTTGTCTGAAGTTGCAACAGAACCTGTCTCTTCTAATAAAATTAAAGAACAATTTTCGGAGAAAAATATTTTGTCGCGGCGTCAAATTCCGGCAAAACAACTCTATAAAGAGCTTACCAACATCCCAATAAGTCATTAAGTAACCAACTCTTTTAAATTTCACAAGTGTTGCTTATAATGAATTTACCGATATCCCATATATTAATAAATTAGAATTTTATTAACTTCTTTTAAATTTTTACAAGTATGGTTAGTGAATACCATCCTCATAAAAAAAATTTACGAATTTCCAAATAAATTAGCAGGTTACCGACTTATTTCACATTTCACGAGTGTGATTAATGTACTACCAACACTCTAGGAAGAATTTATCAACATCCCAATAAACTAGGAAGTTACCAACTTTTTTGAAAATTTTAGAATGCCATCCCTACAAAGTGTGATAATGTATATCGGTATTTAGCACATCGTGCATGTGTGCCAAATTGAATAGACATTACCAACAAGATGCCGGCTCAGATGGTAAGAGAGTTTACTCTTCTCCTTGTGATCTTGGGTTCAAGCATTGTTGGGAGCACTTCGAGAGTAAAATCCTAAATGTATCGGATCAATGTGGGGGAGTGCTCCCGACATATTGCTTAGGGAGGTGAACTAGTCGAGGTGTGTGAAAGCTGGAATGAACACCACCTGTACAATAAATCAATAGGCGAAGGTGAATAGACTTGTATAGCGTTACCTCAAGAAAGAAAATGAGTAGTTATTGTATGAACATAGATAATTGATAATGTATGGAGATTGATTGTCAGTTAGCTTTACTAAAGGGGATGGTCTATTTATTAGGTTTTTCAGAAAGAATAAGATGGGAGATAAAACAATGTTTTGACTTAATAATGCAAAAGATAAAAAAAAAAATATACATGTAGACATGCGTAAGAAGTGTGATAATGTCGAATTTTCAAATTTATATTTACTCGTGAGATTATTTTAATCAAACAAAATATAAATGAATCTTGCACGTTGGCTAACCGATTTTTTTTCCTATCTCTATTAGAAAATGCGAATTGGTCCAGCTAGTTGGGACCTATTTTGGGGTTGGAATTGCCTCAGGCTCGCCTAATTTTCTCAGAACGTGTTTGAATATATGTAAATCTTACGACAGAGCATTTTGAACTGTTTTTTTTTAGCCCTCAAACTCGAAAATTTTATAATGCATACATGTGGACATGTAGATTCATATAAATTTATTTTAATTTTTCCAAATTTGAATAATATTTATATTTTGGTGGGATAGTAAAAAGTTGGTTTTTGGGTTTTGAAAAACACAAACAAACGGGCCCTTGATAATGTCGGATTGAATATCGGGCTTCAAGCATTGGATCCCCAGGAGGCTTGCAGAGGTTCGAATTTTAAGAATATAATAAATTATTAAGACTTAAAAAGCAAAAATCGAAATTGTCCATTACAATATTAGTAAGTTGCTAACTATGCTTGTAAAATTTAGAAAAGTTGGTGATTTATCAATTATTGGCGCGTTGGTAAATTAAAAGAAATTGGTAGTATACTATCTTATTGGAGATCGATAAATTCCATATAAGGTTGGTATTTTACTAGGTACGCCCGTAAGATTTCATCGAAGATGGCCAACCGTATCGATTTAGTCGAACGTTGGTTAATTTATTATAGTGTTAGTGAATGAATCTGTAGATGCCGCTATTTTGTGCCAAGTGCTAATCCTAAATAAGCCGCTAAAGAATGGTGTAAATGATATTCCATGTCTTCACATCGTTCATATTCGGACTTAAAAGTCTAAGTAAAGCGTGGTCCCCGGGCCGCGAACACTGACCAGTGACAAAAAGGCGGTCTCTTAATCATCATTAATAGTATCCCACCAAAAAAAAAAAAAAAACTCATCATTAATGGTAGACAAGAAAATGTCAGTTCATAATGGTTTAGTGTCAAAAGTATTATCCGTTTTTTACGAGATCACGAGTTCGATTCACCTCGTCAGGAAATCTCCAATCATGTCACGTTACATTATATAGTTGCGGCATTAACCATGAGGAGAAAATTTCAACCTATTGCGCTAATAGGTTTGCCGACCTCAAATCTTTCGATCGCGAGTAGAGCGGAGTAGTTATAGCTCACTCAAATCGAACATTCCGTAACTGATATGTGATCGTTATGTTAACGCCCAAAAAAGGATTATAATTCTGATAATTTGTCCGTCTTTTTCAGTAATACAATAAGGGAAAATAACGCAAATAATACCTGAATTTTCTCTAAATGTGCGGTCGTCCCCGAACTTTTGACTTGTTCAACGTGATCTATGAACTTTAGCCCAATATACAGTGTTGTCCCTGCATTTTTTATTTATCTAATATGGTATCTAAACTTTTGGTATATGTTTAATTTAGTCCATGAACTACATCTTCAATATTGTCTCTAAATTTGAATTAATAGAAGAATAGCATTTGATATTTTCATACAATTTAAGGGATTAGATTGAATATTTACCAAAAAATTCAAAAATTATACTGAACAAATTAACAATTTAAGAATGACATTGCATATCAAATCAAAGTTCAGGGACCGTTTACGTCATTTTCCCGCTAAATATCACTCGTGCACTTATACGACCCAAACCGTAGGCAGACGTGAGGCTGCCCGCCCTCAATCGCGACCCCCACTTCCTTTCGTCACGGAGTACGAAACATAAGTCGACGCATCACCCACCTGTCCCTGTCCGAATCCCCACCCCAAAAAAAAAGAAAACGAAAAACGAAAAACGAAAAAACAAAAAGAAGGAAAAACCCTCCGCAACTCATTATTACACGAACGCCATTTTCACCCTCCCACCTTAAATCTCTCTCTCTCTCTCTCTTTCCTACACTCCAAATCCCACGCTCCTCTGCTTCGAGATCCCATCTCGAATCCCACGCTCCGGCGGGTCGGTAAGGGCGGGGGGGAAGGAGAACATGGGTTTCCCGGCGAACGGCGGCCCGGCGAGCGGCGGGCCCCTCAAGTTCCTGATCTACGGGCGCACCGGCTGGATCGGGGGCGTCCTGGGCCGCCTCTGCGAGTCCCAGTCCATCGCCTACGCCTACGGCTCCGGCCGCCTCCAGGACCGCGCCTCCCTCGAGGCCGACATCGCCGCCGCCGCCCCCACCCACGTCTTCAACGCCGCCGGCGTCACCGGCCGCCCCAACGTCGACTGGTGCGAGTCCCACAAGGTGGAGACCGTCCGGACCAACGTCGTCGGCACCCTCACCCTCGCCGACGTGTGCCGCGAGCGGGGCCTGATCGTCGTCAACTACGCCACCGGCTGCATTTTCGAGTACGACGCCGGCCACCTCCTCGGGTCCGGCGTCGGGTTCAAGGAGGAGGATACCCCCAACTTCGTGGGGTCCTTCTATTCCAAGACCAAGGCAATGGTGAGTGTGTGTGCTCTCTACTTCTTGTTGTTCTTGTTGTTGTTGTTGTTGTTCAGTCTGTGATTTGGTGATTATGTTGGTTATGTGTGAGTTATATAAATTGCATATCTTTTGGAGCGTAAGTGTTGTTTCAGATCTGGCTTTGGTGTTCCTTGATCTGCATTTAGGGGCTTGTCTAATTTCTTTTTGTGGGGTGTTCAAGAAACATGCTCTTTTTGTCTGTTCCTTCAATCGTAAATCACGAACACTTGGTTCATTTTGCAATTAATTTCGAGCATTCTGTTGCTTTATGATAGAAACTTACGACCCGATACGGTGCATTGATGGGAAATGCGATTGTTGAAGTGCTTGTTTCGGTCAACAACCGCTCAGACAATTGATCTATGCTTCAGTTTGCCCTCTCGAGCTTTCAGATGAGACGAGCTAATGTTAGTACAGGCTATGTTGCGTGGCATCGAATGTCCTCTGTTTGGATCTCCTCGCTTGCTTCTTGATGTACGAAACAAATGCCTGCTCAACTATGATAAGTAATGTGATAGTTTCCGCCTTGTTAATCATGCTATCTCTGAGTTATGTGAAGTGCGGTATCTGATGAATGCATCTGTAAATAAGTGGTATCTAATGATAGATCCATTCTGATACTTGCGTCATAACATAAGGATGCTTTACATCATATCTGTTCAGATGCTACCAAATATAGTCCATTCAACTACATTATGTGTGTACATCGCCTAAATGATTCTGTGTTCTGTTTCAAAATTGCAGACCATTTTGTTTGTTGTTGGCTCCCAAGAGAGGAGAGTCGGTTCTTTGATGCTTTTCATATGAAGCTTTTTCCCCCCTCAATACTAGATGAGTGACTGAATGATGCTCTGATGTGGTCTTCCTCTGATCTCCATTCATAACGTACCTCGTATAGTCTTGTTTGAGTTTGCAGTTCATGAATAATGCGTGCGTCATGTTGCGTGTGAGAGCTCCTTCTTTTTGCTATTGCCATGTCCCTGACGCCCCTGCATTTTGCATGTTTAGTTGCATGATAAAGGCGAGCGGTTGTCATAGCGAATTCTTATTATGTTTTTTTTTTTTCCTCTGTGAAACATCAGGTTGAGGAGTTGCTCAAGAACTACGAGAATGTTTGCACCCTGCGTGTCCGGATGCCAATCTCGTCCGACCTGTCCAACCCCCGCAACTTCATCACCAAGATCACCCGCTACGAGAAAGTGGTCAACATCCCCAACTCGATGACCATCTTGGACGAGCTCCTCCCCATCTCCATCGAGATGGCGAAGAGAAACCTCACTGGAATCTGGAACTTCACGAACCCCGGAGTGGTCAGCCACAACGAGATACTCGAGATGTACCGCGAGTACATCGACCCGAGCTTCACCTGGAAGAACTTCACTCTCGAGGAGCAAGCGAAGGTGATCGTTGCTCCCAGAAGCAACAACGAGCTCGACACGACTAAGCTGAAGCGGGAGTTCCCTGAGCTGTTGCCCATCAAAGAGGCCCTCATTAAGTATGTGTTCAAGCCGAATCAGAAAACGGGTGGAGCTTGATGCTTGTGTCTTAAGTTACCTTTGGGGTATTGCGTCAATATTAATTTTACTCGGGTTTTTTCCGCATTATAGCGTGCATCCATCATCCAAGCTCCTCTTGCTGCCGGGAATCCAAGATTAATTAGCCTCGGCTCTTGGTTTGTATCTGTATCTTCTTAATTTGTATTGATTTGATCATTAATAAGTTGTTTGGAACTTGGAAGTGATCTGTCTTTGTCATTGGCATTATTATTATTTTTTTTAATTTAATGTTTCTTTAAGTTATGTCGTTAAAGCGTAAAACTACATATCTCTGACATCTCGATCAATCGCCTCGGCGTGGCCCTTTATTTACGCTATGAAACGCCTTATTTTTCCAACATTTTCTCTCTGAATATCAACTGCTATATAAGTGTAGGGTCCAAAATGTGCTTAGTACTGATTATCCAAGGATAAGTTAATAGCGAGTCTTTGTCTAGATACCCAGTAGTTTAACATAGCGGTAGAATTAGTACTGAAGGGATTGAACTGGTGAAGATTAGATCATTCAACGATGGAAAAGGACCCGAATTTGAATAACTACAATTTCCAAGTGCATTCTGTTTAATAATTCAGAAAGTGAGTTTCCAAAAATCGCGTGCTTCAGTGTCCATCTGTGGACGTCGCCGGGAAATCGTAGCAGTTCCGACAAGTTTAACATTGTAAATGGTTCATATCGCACGAAAGACCTACTCATAATCAGCTAAAAAATGTGAAGGTGATTGATCATCTTCTGATTGCATCTGCATGGAAGTGAACCGGTGAGAAAAGGGTTTAGCATTAATGATTGGATTAGCCAGGATCATGCAAATTTTACCTGACCTGCATTAATAATATTTCACAAGATTATATCTCTGATGCATCCAAAGGGGTTGTCGCCAAAACACAATTCAAGCGTCTCATCTCCGCAGTTATTTTTCAACTATTCTAAAAGTTTGAGCTAATCATTAAAAAACTTGATACTCAACGTGTGTACTTGCACTAAGCGGTGACAGAGTTTTAGCACATTCCTGCTGGAATAACATGTGGCTTTTCAATCGTGGTATTCTGTCGGTCGTGTCTTGTCTCTCGCTTTACGTTTTTGGGCACAGTTGCAAGACCAGGTCAATCCCTTTTCTCACTTGGTTGAGGGACGGAAGATTCACATCATGTCGTGTATATTAAGTTTTTGTTGAGGGAAAAGATGAGATTAGAATTAAGCACAATAAGCTTCGTCAAGAAACCGATAATCGAGATTTAATTTAAATTAATTATTAGGTATCTTCGCAGGATTAAGATCCACCATATCCTTGTACTGATGCAGACCTATAAATCAATAACTGAACCATGAGAGAATCTGTAAATGCCATTTCTACCTCTACGTCTTGATCTGAAAGCTCGCATTTTTTACCAAACATTCTGTTGCTACTTTCAGGAACACATTCACATGTACCCAAGCTTTCTAATCTCATTCCGCGAATTTTGTTGCACCCTTGCTCACGGGTAATCGTGAAAATCAATGAAATCCATATACCTTACATGTAGAATTCAGTGTTAGACCGCGCAGTTTTCCAAAATCCATATTAGGATCGCGAAAGGGCGGTTACTAATGAGGGATGTTTTCTATCTTTATTGTGAATTCTTTGCGTTCACAATCATAAGGTCGAGTCCAGGAATTACGGGATGTAGTCAGAGCTTTGTAAGCCTCTAGTTCTTGCTTGTGTTTTTATTTTGCTAAAAAGAAGAACAGAAGGCTAAGGATTACTTTGTTTGGAAACCTTGTTCAAGAAAGCTAGTTGCTTCTGAGGTGTTGAATGGTCGTCCGTCATTCCAGTTTGTTTCATTGCATCAGTAGAGATAATGCTTTGGCAAAAAAAAAAGAAGGAAAAGAATTGCAGCTTGAATCACCGCCAAAAAAACCAAAATTTTACAAAACGAAAAACAAATTAACATCTTGTTCGTTTTGGGCCTAAATACAAGAGAGATTAGGCAACAGAAGCACTTCTAACCAAACAAAAAGACATCAATTTTCTGGGTTTTGTGTATGTAATCTACAGGAATTTGCATAATTTGTTACAGGCACTAACCCCATAATGAATCATCTAATTACCATCACTGCTTGATCCACCACCACAAGTGCTCAGCTCTAGTTATAACGTATACCCCCAGTCGATCAGAAGGTTATATCAGAGTCAATACTGATTTATAAGTTTCGCGTTTCAGTTAGTGGCACAAAGACGAGCATGTCGGTCCGTTGCGCCTACCTCTTGCGCTTGGACTTCAAGGAGGTGACAGATTGGGAATTGTTGTGCCAGTTTCGCTTCCGTTGGTTGATGAACCAGTTGTTTATTTGCTTCAGCTGCAACCCTGTCTCCTCCACGAGTTTCGCCTTGTCATCTTCCTGGAAAGAAACATATATATCAAGCATGTTAATTGTTAATTCACCGCCTCACAATTAAAATTGGGCCTTTCAAATAAAGACATGACGTTGATTAGTTGCATCGAACACAAGGTTGAGAGGCATGAACACACGATAGCAGGAGAAACTGGCAAGATGATTCTAAGAAGAAACATCGACATTTGAGTTTCCGACATGTGGTAAGATGTATGATGACCGTTTGTCCTAAAACCTTAACATTCCGTGACAGCGTAACAACATAACATGTTTGAACTCGAGGGATAAATAAAAGGAAAAAAAAAATCATTTGCTTACAGTTGGGTATGGCCACTTTGAGTGTTGTTGCCACCAAGTTTTCAACACAGAAGTAGTGTCGCCAGGTAATTTTCCGGCTCTCCTTTTCCGTAGTATCTCCTCCCTAACATCCTCAATTCTTGACCTGAAACCCTGCAAAGACCAATCAACACCAATTTCACTGTTTATGATGTTCCTATTGGTAAAAAAAGCTGGATTTGGATTTCAAAGTATGTTTTTTTTTTTAATATATAACTTTAATAAAATTATAAAAGAGGAGTGGCCAAAAAAAAACCTTATTTCTTGAGGCAAAAAAAAAGGTTTAAAAAGGGTGCAAAGGTGAACGATTTCAAAGTATGTTTGTGCACTATAAAAAAGAGAAAACAAACTGATGTCCTTTGTTGGAATCGGAACTAAGCAAACAAAGATAGGGAAATAAGTGGAGCCGGTTCCTTATTGAAAGAGTACTATTGTATACCTGCTTGAGTTCGATCTTCAATTCGTGGCGAACTCTCTCCATCAAAGACCTTTCTGATTCAGTTGGAAGGAGAGGACCGAATCCCATCAGGTCATGAGCATCAGCACCGGATTGATCCAACGAGAAATCCATTTGCAACTCATCCTCATCATCCGACATCGTCGTGCCGGTCCCTTCGCCCAAACTCATTCCTGAAATAATTCCAATTTACAGAAAGATGCCTTGTTGAGTGAGTCCACTCCATTGAGCACTAGGTGTGGCATGAAAACCACGACAATCAATGTAAAATATGGGTGTTCAATTCATAAACACAGCACATATGCTCTATTTTGAAAGTCGTTTCTTCTTCCCAATAGCTCGCATTTGACATTCACATGCTCCCATGTTGTCCTAAAACTCTAATTAACTTGTATGCAATTTAAAATGCATTTGCTTCCTTATAAGATCATGACTACTATTTCATTACCGACTACACCAAGCATTGCCTACAACAAATAATTAAATACGGCGATTAAACTGCCTATTCGATCATCAGATACTAAGTACTTGAGGTCGTGTAATCTCTACAAATTGCCTATGTGAGACCAGGATGGCTTTAGTATAATCCGTACAAGCACTCAACCAGCTGAGAGTTTCAGTTGGAAAACTAGAGATCTAAACACAACCTGGAGATCAATCTAAGACCACATACCGATGATATATATCAAGCATACTTCCCAACACATCACGGTGGATATGATGCGGCAAATACGTCGAAACACGTATTTTATGTTGTTCCCAGTGTGTATATCGTCATTTCTTTATATATAGTTTGCTTGATCTGGCAAATGAGTTTAGCGAATACTTTCTCAACCACCGACGAAGTACGACGATATACCACGCATGATCTCCTATGAGTTCAACAGGAAGTTAGCATCACCATGAAAATTGATTAACAATGTAGCGACCAAACATTATTCCAGTGCAACCTCATCGGTTGTTGGTGCATGGTGGTGATGGGGATTGGGGTACAACCTCCACCGAACTCTCCATGAACCAACTCCTTAAACTCCCATCTAATTCAAAAGCTATACACTAAAAAAAAGATATTTAAGGTCGGTCCTACAACACCCACCTCCTCTTAATAACAATTCCCCAAACTCACAAGAAAACCACCATATCTGCATAATCAACTTGCTCACTCAAACCCTCCGCCTACCGAACAAACGTATCAAAATAACAAAAAAAAAGTCCACAAACGAATCAATCAACCAACGAAAGAACCAGAACACACACACACCTTCTTGTGATTAGAATCTTGTTTGAATTAACCAGGTGTTAAGTAATGCCCCCTTGATGAGGAACACCAGCACAAGTCACGACTAAAGATTGGTTTATATATCATTATTATTATTAATGGGCTGATGGGTGATTCTTCTTTAGATTAGTTTAAGAAGCTGATTTGATGAGAGAGGCGTGGCCTCATATTCACCCACCAAAGTTTTGTCTGAAAAGCGCATGCATCAACGCCCGATCCAGCCCTTCTCTTGCGATAATTCCAATTACGTGGTGCTTTAGACAACCGTTGAAAGCGACTTGATAGGTGTGTACATCTAAGCAGCATCTCTAAAAATATCATCTTAATTATACCCTAGAACAAAATCAAGAAGAAAGAAAAAAAAGAAAATTATCATCTAGAGAGAGAGAGAGAGAGAGAGAGAGAGAGAGATACCAGTGAGAGCTTGGAGGGTGTTTTCGATGTCACGACAGGCCATGACGGCTTCAACGGCGTGGACTCTAACGTGTTGTTGAAGCTGCTCTTTGAAGCTACATAGTACCACCAGATATTGTGCCTACCACAAAAATATCCAATTTTGTTCAAGGAAATTCAAATTGGATACCCATTTTTTTCTTAGTAAAAAGTACTAAACTGGAGCACATACAATAGAAACGCTGATGAAGGGATAATATATGTAGTATATTTCCATATTGGATTTTCTGGGGAGCACTTTCTTGATTATCATAGATGTAATATAACCCTGATCCAACCATAAGCTCTCAAAGAAGTAGAGATTCAAAAGCAAAACCAAGAGAAGCTAATTTTAGTGACTACTACGAGTTCATTTCCGCAAGTGAAAGAGAGAAAAACTACAAGGGTTTGTTCTTGGGGGAGGGAAAAGAACGTACCAAGAAATTGTCAAGCTCTTGCCTGTCGTGAGGAGTGAGGCTGTTGCGGCCGTGCTGCACCGAGGAGGCGGCGTAGGAGCGCAGGAGGTGGTGCGACTGCGTGAGCTGCGCGTCGATCAGCGGCAGCTGGTCGATCGGGGTCGCGACGCGGAGGCATGCCACGTGGGCCGCCAGCAGCTGCTCGTACATCGGGTGGTTGGCGATCTCCGCCTTGAGCTGGCGCTGCTGCTGATCGCCCAAGAACGATGCCTCACCGCTCAGCCCGGCGCCGATCCCGCCCCCGCCGCTGCTGCCGCCGCCCCCCATCATGGCCAAGTTGGGCCCTTGCATTTGGTGGGCTATGGTACTTGTTGTGTATGCTTGAGTACAAGAGAATTTAGTCGAAGTATTAGGAGGATATATAGCCACCAGTGGAAAGAAAGATAGGGGGAATTGAAAGCCTTAAAGGGTATTGCGAAGAAAGTCAGTACTTTTTATTTGTGGCAAGGAAGAGGAGTGACGAGGGTTTTGAAGAAAGAGAGAGGACCACAGAGAGAGAGAGAGAGAGGGGGTTGGGGAAGTATATTGAGAATAGACAGTGAATATTACGATGATGAAAAGAAGAAGAAGAAGAAGACAGTTTTCTCGTTAAGGGTGCGCATGAGGGAAGGAGAGAGAGAGAGGCAGAGACGATATTGGGATCAGAGATGCAAGACTTTCTGCAGCACCCTCTGCGCTTTGCACAGATTTCGCTTCCACAAGGGAAGAGAGAGAGAGAGAGAGAGAGAGAATATGCCACAGCAGGAGGGAGAGAGAGAGAGAGAGAGAGAAGAAGAACAAGAAGAAGAACAGGAAGAAGAAGAGAGGGAGGGGGGGTTGATGTTTGTAGTTTGAGAAGGAAGGAGGAGGAGGGCTACGGAATCATCATTATTGCGAAAGGAGAAGAAGAGGAACGGAAGGGGGGTACACATAAAGAAAGCAGAAAACTCACAGATAAAAGCTGTTCTGCTGCCTGACCATTGGATGGCTTTCTAGCTTTTTCCTTGTTTTCCCAGATATATATAATATTATCTGGGGTTATTTATTGGTGTATTATGGTTCTACTTTTCCTTTTTAAATCGACAGTCAACACTAACTTAGCTTGGGTGTTTGATGGGTTTTCTTTCTTTTCTTTTTATGCATGTACAGGACGTAGTCTTTCTGAGTTTCATACCTCAATCGGGGTTTAATGAATTAGGTAGATCTATCTCTCCATATGCACAATTACTCTTTTCTTATATTAGCATTGCATGCTTAAAATGCGTACAACTTCAAATCGATTCAACATACATAAATGTACCGTTTTCCACAAACTCAGCCGCCCTTGTAATCTCAAAATTAAAAGTTTCCAAAATTTACAATGAGAATATATGATGATTTCGCATATTTATATTTTTATATCGTGAAATATTTTGGGCGTCTGGCATTAAACCAAACAAAAACCCTAATTTCTGAAATCATACAAAAGCGACACAAGTCGCGCTCTCTGGATCACTAAGCACCAATTGTCTTTGATGGATTTTTGGTACACAAAATCTGGTCATGATGCAACAAGAAAAAACAAAAGCTGAGCACTCTTTTTCTTTCTTTATAAACATAGCAATCTAGCGAGGTCTACAATGGTGTAGATCGAAATCAAAGATAGGTTTAGCTTGTGCAGATGATAGGGCCAGTAGGCCGGTAGGTACTAAGCTTAGGAACCTAGCATTCAAGAATAATATGCATAAAAATTCCCCTGTTTTTTTTTCCTAATAAATAAGAAATTTCTATAATTGTTTGGTGCCAATCTCAATTATTGTTATTATTATTATTATTTTTCTTATTTTCATCCATTGTTTGTTGCTCTCTCTCTCTTCTCTCTTTGTAAAGCTGCAAATTGTTCAAGTCAGTGATGGGGACACATCCTTAATGAAGCACTCCTGTCAATGGAAGGAGGCAGGCAGGCAGGTCACTGCCCCTTTTACCATTCGCCTAGGGAAGTTTCCTCTTGTTTTTTCTTTCAAGTGGGTCGTGCCCCATAACTTTATTAATTATTATATAAATGTTTTAAAATAATTTACAACATAAAATCGTGTAATTTGAATGAATTTTTCCGGGTAAGTGCAATCGACCCGTCTTTCTTTCTTTTTTTCGTACCCTCCATTAATGAAATTGTAATAAATAGAAATATTTTGTGGCCCGGTCGACTAGCTCGGGTCTTTTTCTTTGTGTTTTCTGAGGGCAAACATTGTGAAAGGAAGAAATAGAAAAACGAAATCGATAATAAATAGCGGCGAATTTCATATCTCGGTTTGTATATTACATGACAATGTTTTTGGCGAATCAAATTCCCTATTATAACCCTTAACTTACTGTACGTTTATTTGTCGATCATCGTAATACAATTTTATCTGAGATGCTAGGCAATAAATAAGGCAATGGGCTTGCAAGTGAGTATCAATGAATTTCTCCAAAATTCTAAAGGATGTAATAGTAGAAGAAGGTGTTAGTCTAAAATCCAAAAGTTCTATCGGATGTAGTAACATTTTTTCAAGACAAATGGATAAATATTTTCGTTTGGCCACGACCCTTCATGTCATTGATTACACGACGATTCGTGAGCGAAGTAATTTCCCTGGAAAATATGACGAAAGTCTTACGGATAATGGATTCAACACGCTAGCTGACGGGAAATCACATGCCTAATTAATCGTCTTTGTAATAATAACGCATTAACAAACTTACCGTAAATGAGAAAATCACATGACAAATGCATGCGATACCCACCCGGTATGGAATCATGATAAGAAATTCATGCAATTGTGTTAGGGTACGCTCTGCATCCAAATTTGTTGTTGCAAAATAGGGTTTGTTGTATTTCTTTTTAATAAATCTTATTGGGCAAAGAACATTTTTGTAATTAAAGAAAGTCGGCCGAGGGTTGAACTGTCACTGTTCCGCCACCCTCGGCTGGTGATTTGCCTTTACAGTTTGGTGTCTCTTTCTACATGCATTTTGGTGTTTTGAAATAAAAATCAAATAAAAAATAAAAAAACCCAAAATTTTTTTTATAAAAAAAATGCGTGGAAAAAATTACAAAAGGAGGGCCGGAAAAATAACAAATTAAATTAATAGGGAGGAAAACAGGACACACAGACCAGAAGTTTGTTTGGACACAGTGACCACCTACCCAACCCCCCCACCCTGCGCAGCGGGTGACGTGGCGAGCGGCCATTGGCGGTGGGGTCCCTTCGATTTAAGGTACTTATCTTTTGTGCTGACCTTGACGTCTGATGGGTTCCTGTTAACCGTTTGATCGCGGTCACGTTTGCGTCCGATGTGATGTAATGGGTGATCCGATACATGCATGTGTCCAATCGGCCCCGTGGGAATATTGCTCCGCACGGCTAGGTTCTTAGGGCACGAATAGGGGTGCTCTTTGTTTTTATTTTTTCATTCATTTTGGTTCTGTCGGCATTAAGGAATTAATATATTTCACGGGATAATCAAATATTAAGAGAGCCTTCGAGACGAATTTTAAAAATGATTAATGTCACGAAAAACCTCAAAATGAAACGTCTGTGACGAATTTACTCCAAACTAATTTTTTAACTACAAAAAATCCTAAACTGGTACATATATGATAAATTTATCATTTATTAATATTTGTTAAATTTTTATTGTCAAATTGCTGAGTTCGACGACATTTGGCAGTTAACGGGTGCACCAATTTGGGGTTTTACCCTCCGTTTGCAGTTTGTGATTTTTTGTGGTATTTATCTAATTTAACGGAAACCAACGGAGGGTAAATTTGTCACAAGTGTACCGATTTTAGGTTTTTGGTGGTCAAAAAATTAGCTTTTGATAAATTTATCACAGGTGTAATAGGTATTAACCCTTTTAGAAAATATGGGCTCTTATTTTTTCCATGAAAAAAGAAAAAGAGATTATCTTGATATAGGAGTTTTGAAATATTCAGTTTGAGTCATAGTTATTGCCATATTTTAGCGAGCCTACCACCGGCGCACAACCGAATGCAATGGGACAAAGCCGGAGTTATTGCATGTCCCTTGCATGGGCCGGACCTACACCATAAACGAATTGAGACTTCCTAAGATCGGGAGGGGGGGGGGGGGGCGGGGGGATTCGAACTCATGACCAAAGGATTATCAAGCACATAAACTCGGTTTCCGTGTCCGCTACCGCCTCCCAACACACTCGAAATGTACTGTCAAAATTAGATTTCACGAAAAAAAAAGGAGAGTTTTTTCATCAAGATGTTTTAAAAGAACGGAGGTTTAAATTGGCTAAATTGAAAATCGCCTCGCTGTATCCAAGGGACGGTGGGACCAATGTTGGAGCACAATTTCTTGAGATCATCAGTGACAAAATTGAGAATTGTTGGGGATGAAGACATGGTGTGGTGGGTGTCCACTGGAGTTGGATTTAAGCAAAACACTCGAACTACTTCTTTAGGTTTCTTTTGTTTCACGTGGGATTGCTGCTTTGTATACACGAAATCTTTCTTTGTTTTAATATTGGATTGTCCGGCATTTAAGTCTTGTGTCCTCACTAGGAAGCTCGATCTCATCAGATGAATTGCGAAATTATTTTCCAAGTTGAAACCTCTTGTTCTCTCTTTTTAGCTCAATATAATATTCCTATCGAGGGAAAAACAGTGGCTTCTCAATCAACCCCGTTTTGAGGGCTATTTGCAACGGTTTACTTGGTTTTATCTTTAGTCCTCTTAAGTAAACGGAATATGTATGCATGGATTGTTCATCCTGATTTTCTGAGTTCTTACTTTGTTAGTGTCGCGGACATTGCATGGGGTACTTATGAGATCGGAGATTTATCTGCCCGATATGAGCTGCGATTTTGCGCACTATGTAGAAAAAGATGTTCGTATGGAGTCAACGTCGCTGTGACCGAATAACTAAAACATCCATGAACGGCTTATCGTTCCCGATTCTCGAATGAGTCCTCCCACACATGTGGAGGTGATTTCACTATACATTAGTCCTTGTGGGATTAGTAGCCTCTTTAGCTAATCTCTAAAGTCAGAACTTCTGAGTGCTAGCCTTGTTCTTTTTGCTGCAATTTCTCTCCTAATTCAGAAAAAGAACATCTTACCAAGCCCATGCCCCAAATTTGATTGGTATTTTGAAGGGTTGGGTTGAGCCTCTTTCTTTTGCAAAGATGTTGCGACAAAGCTAACCAGCTTTGCTTATCTTGGCGTGAAGTTTAGCATGAGTTTTGTCAATTAAATCATTTTCTTTTGAATTGCATTAGCCCCAACCCATCATTGGACTGCAATGTCTACTTCGTTGTTTATTCAAAACGAGCGGATCTATCATAAGTTTGGAGTGGATTTTTACTTTTCAATTTTCCGTTTCTGTTTTTCGTTTTGTGAAATGTACGGCTTTTCACTTCTCATATGCTAAACATCTAAAATCTAATCGAAATACACGAATATCTAAATCGTTCATAAAATTTTCCATGACCTTTAATTTTTTCGGTGAAGAAGCTCTCGAAAAATTGGTCGAGCGGTCAAAATATCTAAATTGAAACCCGGCGAATGAGTCATAAACAATCTAATTCCGAGTAGCGTTAGTAACTATATAATGGTGGTGATGTGCATAGATGAAATTATTTCCATGTATCCGCGAGAGTTAGTGGAGCACGAATTATGAAATCAAGTATGATCGGAAGCAAGAAAAAAAAAAAAGAAAAAAGAAAGAAAAAAAGAAAAAGATAAGTATAAGAAAGAGAGAATTGTAGAACGTTGGTGGGAATAGAAGTGGGGTCACCATCACAGCTGTAGCCTTGTCGCGTTGTAGGTCCTTGAGATTGCGACCTTTGTTAAGAGCGGTCCCTCTTGGCAAGGACTAGAAAAATCTCCAAATAAAAGAGCACACACACCGAGGATTAGTGGCCCAATTAACGAATAACCTTTAATTTTCTAATAATAGACAGGAACGGTCCCTGAACTTTAATCTAAAGTACAACGTGAACCTTGAACTTTAAATTTATTCAATGTAATTCAAGAACTCTAACCCAATGTTATCCCTGAACTTTTAATTTTTGGTACATGTTCAATTTAGTTCTTAGACTGTATGAAAATGCTCAATTTTCATAAAGTCTAGGAACTAAATTGAACATGTACTAAAAGTCTATGGACCATACTGAACAAATTATTAGTTCATGGATCACATTGTACATTTGGCTAAAGTTCAGGTACCGCATTAAATAAATTTAAAATTCAGGAATCACATTGCACGTTAGACGAAGTTCATGAACCATTTATGTCATTATCTCTAAATTTTTTAAACCTTTCACATACACACAGCGAGAGAGAAAGAGTTCAGTTGCTTTCACGAACCCGCAATTCCTGAGCTTGATAGTCCTCTCCTTTTCATGGTTTTTCTTCTCACTTCTTCCATCTTTCTCTGTAGTTCACCGAAGTCTATCCCATGGCTAATCAGTAGAGGGTAGCCCACTTATCCAAAAGAGAAGGTTTTCTCCCTCGCTTGCTCACACAATCGCCTTCCAATCCACTAACATCGACAATTTGCAAAGAATAATTCCACGTTTTTTGACACTAAAGGACAAAATCGCTTTTGTTGGCGTTATTGTCGTGTACGACGTGGCGTGCCATGATTCAAAAAGAAAATTGGTCGATAGGGGGCCACTTTGGGCCTCTCGAGCTTCATTGGCTAGCTTAAAGGGGCTAGCCCCGTAGATAGATATCAGCACATGAGATGAGAAAGTGACAAACGTTGACCAGAAAGCGAGAGCACATGGCAATGGCAATGGCAAGGACGATGAATCTCTTTTCGCCGATCAAGCACCTCCATGGAGGGGCTGTTAGCGCCCGTGCCGGATGCACAGTGAGCTCCACCAGAACCTCCCTAATCCCGTAGCTGATTTGCATCGGGAATACTCCACTGCAGTTTCGAGTTTCATCCTCCACACCCGCTCTGGCCTACGTGAGTTCTGAAGAGCGCACCCTTGGTTCTCTCATTAACGTGCACGAATGAAATCCATAGCCTACTATAGAAAGAGAGTACTTCTCGGAGTGCCTGATGATTCTCGACCAGAGTGAGGTCCTTTGCAGCAGTTAATCTTAGATTGAACAGTCGCGGTATGCTGGATTTCTTGGGAAGCCATGATATAAGTTCACAACTTTACAAGTCACAAGTCAATTCTACAGGACTTTTCTTGTATATTAGCAGCCAAAGGTTGTTTTCATGGTCATGGAAATTATTTGATGAAGTCCTGCTCACGACCTTCTTATCCGCATTCAGATTGTGTATTAGGGAGATTACGACAACCAAAACTGGCTCCATCGAACAGCAGCAGAACAGGGAACAATGGCAACGGCAACGACAAGAAGATTTGACCCGGAAGAACATCAGAGAATTCAAATGAATTGTATTAGGTACATAAATTTTAAATTTGGTTAGAAAGGCTTCATTGAGTACAAAAAACAATCTTCGTGAAAACTCATTCTTGAATCTTCCTTCACTTACATTTCCGGATAAAGCCACCCAGCTTAAAGGGCCATAAGCTACTGTTTCTAGCAAACTGTAACTGCCCACGAGACACGGTCGCGCAGCTTCCTCAACTAAAATGAACTTGGCCCTTTACACTGTCTATTTCCTTTTTACATGAAACGACAAAGAAAGCATCACACCTCATTCATCTGATGTCAAAATGGCAGAGAGATCCGAGTTTCAACACTACAACACGCATGTAAGGAATTTGGAGCTCACAATCCTTGTCGACATCAATATGACAAAACAAGACCAAGCATTGAAACAGATCATCAGGAGAAAGAAAACCCACTTCCAACTGCAGTATAGATGGCAGTGCCGTTCCAAACTTCTCACCTCTATATAACGTAAGAGCATATAACATGCATTCCCAAACTACCAAAGCCTTGAGTCACACGGCTCCATCGAAATCTCCTTAAATCCCATATTATTCATGTATTCCCTTTCTTTCTATGCGATGATCCACATATTCATTTCCATGTGATGCTTCATTGCAAATGAAACGACAAAATCAAAGCTTCTTGGCTGCTAAAAGAATATTCAAGTCCTAGAAATCTGTTTACAGTACAAAATCAAAGATAGAGCGAAAATCCACATATATTTCCAGAAAGGTTGATTTATATCGTCACATACAATTGGAACAAGGCAAACCATTTACAACGTGATCTCCCCTACAATGCACGCTGTTCACATAATGATACATCTATCCTTGGATTTTGCATCAGCCCTGTTCGAAGATGACGGATTTCTCCCTCCATATCTTCCCACCTGTAGCACCATTAATGGCTGGTATAAGTTACACGCCCCGGGCAAAAGCCTTAAATGAACACTACTTGATTGCATTACAAGTCATTTTCCTTCATTTACAAGCAACTGTAAACTACATACAAAGACTAAAAATTCCTCAAAAGCAACTACACATGTATTTTGCAAGTTTGTTTCTCAGCTATGCAATATCACAACCAATATTCTAACTTCTATCATCTTCAAGAAATCATCCTGAAAGCAAAATATTATCACATATTTGTAGGAGAGGTCAAGGCAGAGAGCAACTCCACGAGACACCTTAAAGAATTGACCTAAATGAGAACTAGCAACTAGATTAAACAAGCAGCCCACTCCACCCTCACCCCCAACCCAACACCTCTGAAAATAAGTTGCTCTTTCATATTTAGCTAATATGGAAGGACCATCCACAACATAAGAAGTTTGAGCTCATCGTTAAATTCAACGAATTCTGGAACATGACAAGGCCCCCTGCCAACTTTCGAACCCCAGACTTCAGTTTTAAGAGTGAGCGCCAGGGACGGATCTAGAAGTTTCTCTTAGGGGTACAAGATTTGATCATTTAGGAATTTAATGATCGACCGCTCGCACACTTCAAAGTACCAAAAAAAAGACAATAATATATAACCTTTGTTTGTCTATGACAACTACGCTTTCAAAATTCTTGAATTGTTTTTTTTTACCAATTTGTGGGGGCAAATTAAAATGGGAAATATTTATTTTTCACATAGCTGTATGTATCTGAAAAATTTAATGGGGGCACGAGTTGTTTTTAGGCCAAAAGTAATTTAGTAATAATTTAAAAACCTTAACATATTCCGAAGTTTTGACAAAATGAGTAAGGGCAAGAGCCGCCGCTACTCTAAAGCTCATTCGGTCCCCGGTGAGCTCTCAAAGCCATCAGGCCAGAGGAAAGTTGATCTTGATGATGACAAGCGAAGTTCCATGTTCTACGTCTAACTTCGATGATTCGACAAATCTGTACTTCCTTTTATAATCTGCATGCGTTAACATATTTGGAGAACAACGAGAATGGAGTTCTCTAAGGTGGCACACAGAAAACTTGGCTTGGACGACATTCGCAAGCGGCAATGCAATATGACCCGATAAACAAATGAGTAAGGACCTTAAGTAAAGACATTGCTTAAAGCAGGGAACTGCCATCAACGCATTATGTTGTGGCCAATAACACGAAAAAGTACTTGTATCTCCAATTAAAACTTTATATTAGAGGTGATAAGTTCCACCGTGGATAGATTCCAATGGAACCCACTCTATTATAACTGGTTCCCAGTTTTTGATACCTAAACCTACCCTATTTGCACCGGAACCTACCACGGTTTTTGGTTCCGGTTCAAGGTCTACCGGAAACCTGTTTTTCATTTGTTTCTTTTTTTTGTTGCATTTTTTACAGCAAAATAATATGAGCGAGAATATGGTTAAAAGTAAAAGATGAACAACAGAAATCCCTTATTTGCCAAAAGCAACAATCCATAAGATGAACACATAGTCACGTACAATAAAAAATGATAACATGTTCAACACACGTATCGTAACACATAAATTATAAAACTCCATTCCTTATTCATCCAAAAAATTATTGCTCCAACCACCTGAAACAAACGAACAACATAGTTAATCATTTAACAATAGTTTAAGTGAGAGTGAGATGAGAACGAGCAACAGTTGCGAGGCTCGAATGAGCCGCAAGCGAGTAAGGAGGAGGGTGAGTTGCGAGAGAGAGTTGTGAAGTGTACGAGTGAGGTAGGAGGCTTGGAGAGAAATGAGATTAAGAGAGAGAAAAACATGCCAAGAGAAAAACTAGGGTTTTTTAGACTTTATAAAACTGGTATGGTCTCAACCAAAAAAAAACCGATACGGTTGGTCCGGTTCCCCGGTGGTTCTTCACTTGGAACCGGGAACCGAACCGGTTCCCACTGGGAAATGAGACCGGCTTTCAGGGCGGTCCGGTCCGATTCCCAGATAGAACGGTCTAGTAGCACAGCCCTACTTTATACCAAAAGCAGCTAATAAGATTACCCAAATAAGACATGGCAACAAGGTGTTCAGCAAACCTGGAACCAGAGATCAGCTTCAAACCACCAATTGACTGTCGTTGCACAATATTGCGTTGTGGTGGTTGTTGCTCCCACTCTTCTTGCTGCAGAGCCATTGCCAATTGACGGTCGAAACTACAACATAGAAGTGTTTGCACTCTTAGCAAAAGGCTCAAGTTAGTCAAAATGTATTTAATTTAGGGATAACTGAACTAGAAGTCCTCAAAATTGTCATGAAAGTGCAATTAAATCTTCAAACTTTCAAAAAGTTCAATTAAGTCATAAAACTTGTCGTGAAAATGCAATCGAGTTCTAAAACTTTCGGAGAGTATAATTAACAGAAGGACTTGATTGGACCAATTTGATAAGTTTTGGGACTGGATTGCACTTTCTGAAAATTTTAGGACTCAATTGCACTTTCACGACAAGTTGTAGGACTTAATTGTACTTTCACGACAAGTTTTAAGACTTCTAGTGCACTTATCCCTTTTATTTATGTGGCACGAAGAGAAAGAGGCTTTAATGGACAAGAAACACTCAAGCTGAAGAGACATGTCTTCGAACTCCGAATAGTTCAAAAAGCCTAGCCAATTATCAACAGAGTGTTGCAATTATGCAGAGAGCATGAGAATGCTTTTCCGAAGAAATAAACGATTCCTTCACATGGCGTGGCGCAAATAACAAGACCACTGATGTCACTTGGCAAAATCCAGTAAGAATGTTAATATTGCTCGACCTAGTCTTAATCCATCTGAACTATAAAACCATAAGAAGCCAATAAGTTAGGATTTTTTACTCCGTATTCAAGCCTGCAAGTGTTGCATTGTCGATGCTGGCAACATAGTCCTGCAGCACACGAGGGTAATATCGGTTGAAGGTTATGGCGAAATTCAGAGCACATAAGATAAAAATAGATACATAAATCTGTGCTGGCCATGGCATTATGCTCGTCCCATGTATCATTTGTATGACTTACTATCTCATATTCCTTAAAATCGCTGCACACGTACACGTTGTCCCTATTGACCTGAAAACGCAGTGCCAGTGCTTAAAAGAAACATCAATGCAAACCATCCACATAGGAAAAAGCAACATAATCAGTTCAGTCTAAAAATATATATAATAATAACACGGTATGATTTAATGATCATCTTAAAATTAACTTATTTGCCGGAAAGACTAACAGTAACAAACTGTTGTATAACACAACAAGAAAGAAGGCATGTAATAAGGTCAAGTGATGATTGTTGGGAGAGTAGGGGGAAATACTTCCAAGCTTCAAAAGTGGAAAATAGAGTTCCAAGGGGAAGTCCATCCCACAACCCATAAGTGGGATAGGTAAACTCGAAAAGGTACTCTATTCACCTTCCTAAAAACTTGGATAGCACCCTCATTCAGTTTGGATCTGGATATGAGATTATCAGAACATGTCCATGGTTGAGCCGAATCAAGTAAGAAATGCAATACTTGTAAGGAAAATCAAACTTTGGAAATAGAGAGAAATTACAAAAAAAAATTCCATCATGTTTAGTAGCTGTCGCATAATTTACGAATGTAATTCTCATCAATCAAATTGCATTTCTTGTTCAACATATCTTTTCCCCATTCAACTTGCACAGTTGTGCATAAAAAGAGAGAAAATCCCATAACTTGAAATAAGTCCCTTTCTCTTAACCGTGTGAGGTTACAGACGTGAAGTAGAACTAGAAAACTAGTCCTGTTTGGAACAAATTGCACCTTCGTTTCAAAATCATTGAGTTCACAACCAAATTTGGCAGTTACCACCACCATAAGAATAGGTTATGCCCTGATTAAACGACCTTACCTTTTTCTATGACCAGATTAAATGGCCTTAGCTATGTCTTGGATTCATTAAAGAAATCCAAATTAAAAACACTCACCAGAAAAACCACAATCCTGAAAAAACAGCTTCAGTTTCAAGCAGGGAAAAGGATGAAATCAGAACAAACTGATGAAAGTTCTCTTCGTCAATGACAATGAAAACACGCTTCTTACCCTTTCTAGTTTCTCCCACACATGATCAGGCTTATCTTGGAAACCTTCGTCTGTAGCTAATAGATATAGTTGACCTTTCTACTGCAAATGACACAAAAATTAATTAAAAAGAGATTTCTTCTCTCATCGGGCACAAACAGATGCAATGTCCAACGGTTCACAGTAACAATATAAACATACAAGAGATACAAAACGAAGCCCATGACAGACCTTAAACATGGTACTGAAATGTTCGTTATCAAAGAGCACACAAGGCTCTCGCCCTATAACATCACATTGTAGACAAGAAAGGCTGCATTGTTCATAAAGAATTATTATGGAGGATAGAAAATTCATGCACATACCCATGAGATGGCCAACTGATAATTGATAGAAAAAAAATGGAGGATGGCAAATTCATACACATACCCATAATTGGTCAACCGACCGGCGCTGCTCTCCAAGAATTCCCGCACTAATTCCCCTAAGAGCAAATTTGACAAAAAGAGATATAGCATCATGACAAAGTTAATAGTAAACTGAACAT